CGCTCCGCCTGGACGTTCTCAGGATGTTTGCAAATGAGTAAATCAAAAACTGGATGGGACCTCATCCCTCCAGGGCTTTCGGAATCACGGAATCATCTCGTCTTCTCCCCAGTTGGTGAGCGAGCTCAAAAACCTGGAATAGTCCTCATGTTTCACATCCTCCATTACCCTAGGTGTCTGGTCCTTCTCATTTGATTTACCCTCTAAAACTCATCCCGACTTGCTTGCTTCTTGTTAATCCTTATCATTTCTCACCCGAATTGCTGAAATTACCCCTAACTTGCTTCTCTCTTGCCAGCTTGACCAGCACCCATTAGCCCACCCTCCTGCCGTGGTCATCTTTCTAAATTGCAAACACGATCCTGCCACGCTTTGATCACATCCTCCTGTGCCTCCCTGGCTCCTTCAGGACGAGTCCCATATCTCAGCGCCCTTGGCCCCCGCCCCCCGCCCTCACCGCGCCTCTCTCGGGATCATCCGCACTCAGAAGTTCTTGACCTTGAGGTGCTTCTCACACCTGTCTGGGTTCCTCAGGGGCGAGCACTTGCCATGGTTTAGCTGTTCGCCTGCCTTTTCCAGGCTGGTTCCTTCCGCTCCTTCAAGGTGAGTCTTGCTCAGGCATGACATCTTCTGGAAGAGCAGCCTGAGCCCTGCTGCCTGGCTCTGTGCCCGCCACCCGGGCCCCTCCAGCCCGTGGACAACATCTCCCATGTTGTGCTGTCATTTTAAATCCTCCACCAGACTGGGATTTTCCCGGACAGTCGCTCTGCCACTCATGTTTGTATTCCCAAGAACTTGTCGTGCATTAGCCATCGATACTTCATTAGTAAGTGGAAAAGTAAGTTCTGCTCTGTTTTTCCAGCATTCCTGCGGAGTTCTACCAAAAGTCTTCCCGCTTTCCGACCTTGTGTCCTTGCATAACCCAGTACACAAAGATGTATTTCTTCTTTTCAAACTTCAATAAAGAAATAACATATAAAATATGTATTTTTTAAATTTTTTGAAAGAGGCAAACACAGTTGAGATTTTATCTTATAGAATTTTGTGTAAGTGAGGACTTTGAGGGGATGCTGAGGGAAGAAGGAAAAAGCCAACTAATGTTTATTTTGCAACTAATGTGTGCCAGGCACTACGTTACACATCTTTACCTGTTCACACCGAGTAATTCTCACGGTCAGTTCTCTCTGGCGTGTTATTACCACTGTACTAATGAAGCTGAGACTGAAGTTCAGAGAGGCTGTCGTACTATGTCTCTGCAGACAGAATGGCTAGTTTGAGAGCTTCAAGTAGAAGGAAGTATGTCTCATAGGACATAGCAAATAATGGAGAGGTAAAAACCTTAAACATTCATGTTTTGAAACAAAAGCTGTTTAAAATAAACTCTTAGATGAAAATAAGCTGTGTATTTCAACTTAAACCCCAGAGTGTTAGGCAGGTTTTAACTGGAGAAATTCCATTTAGAGGACACCGTTCAGCAGGCCCACGCTTCAGTTCTGCTGCTCAGCCTTCCAGTCTCAACTCCGCACCTGGTCCCAGTCACTGCCTCCTCGTCCCTCATCAGAAAGGCTTACGGAGCTTTGAGAGCCAATGAGAGATGCTCAGTGATCTCCCCGAAGAACCTCCTGGTCTGACCGGATTTGACGTCCTAGATGGCACGCGGTCCCTCCACGAGGCCTGTCTGGGTCAGCTGGTATCACCAAGCGCAGAAGGTGGCCCTTTGGACATTTCCAATTTTACCTCTTTCATGGTGCTCATTCCTCCAACAGTATTTACTCACCCTACCGGTTAATAATTGAACGTGGAATGTGCCGTGGCCCCGGTGCCTCATTTGTTTGTGTAGTGATGTATCTTTTCACTATGTCTGCCACCTAAATTAGCTGTCTGCACCCCGGCCTTCCGCCCTCGAGCAGGGGCAGGGAAGAGGCTGCTTAATTAGCTCCCGGTATTTGCTCTCTCTGCGGCCAGTTTCTTACATCTCTATCCTAAGAGCTGCAAGAGAATACTGTTTTTTTTCTTTTTATACAGTTGTTTCCCATCTTAGATATGAGATCCTCATGAGAGTTCCTCTCTGAACTCAATGCATGAGTGAATGAATAAAGGAGTAAGTGGGAAAACATGGCAAGGACAAAAAAGATTTCCTAATGAACGGAAGACGGCACGTACGGAAGGTGGCATCCTTTATAGCTTGAGGGTGTTGGTTTTTAAAAATGATCATAGGATTTGGTTCCAGTTAGTCTCATTCCCTAGTCGTCATCAAAATAAGTAATTTATTCAACAGAATATCTAACAGAAAGGAAGCAACGGTTGCCAGTTGAGGTCCCTCCTGCCTGTTTCCTCAGTCACTTGTGCTCATTGCATGGCTGCCTTCCTAGTGTCAGGAAGTTGAACATCGGCACCTTCTTTGGGCGTTTCCACTGCACCCCCAATTCTCCGTCCTCTGCCTACAGCAGTACGTCCTGGTGGGAAGGAGTATGTCCCTAACAGGTTTCCAAAAGCACTTCTCTATGTGTATGTTTTAATGGGGTGCATTTTGGGCAAAGATAATGAAAATGCATCCAGTCATTTAGCTGCCACGCTGAAGAATAACTAGATAAGCCTCCCCTGAAGAATGGAAAGATAACGGCAAAGATTCTCATTACCCTGAAGTGGTTTGGTAAATAAGGAGTCCGACAAAGGCTGGTTGGAGGATGCTTGCTGGATGGGCTGACAGGTGAAGAATGGATAGATGGTTTAAATAAATAGGTGGGGAACAGTCATATGAGGGAGGTGCATGAGTGAATAGATGGAATGAGGGTTGGATAAATGGGGAAATAATATGTGAATGAATAGGTGAGTGGTTAGCTGATGGAGAAATAAATTGGTACATTGATGATTGATGGAGCTGAGAGGCCAGATGAAGTGGAAGACCGATAAACGCCCATGCCAGCGGGCGAGCAGATGGATGGGCAAGTGCTGTGGTGTGAACAGGAGCGGGACAGGGTCAGGTGTGGCTGGGGAGAGGATGATTAAACGGAAGAAGGGAAAAGGGGAGGGTAACAGGGAGCGCCAGAGGCATTAAGATGTGAGACTGGAAATCCGTTTCCTCGACAAGTCATGATTTTACAATGAGTGTGAGGAAATTGGAAACTCTCAATCACTGGTTCCTACCACATCCGTGGTATTTTAATTTACAAAGAACATGATCTAGTCTATCCACTTATCTGTGTTCCATCCCCTGTGGGGGAAACAGAGTCACGAAAGACCAGAGATTAGCCCTCGTCTACCCAGGAAGCCATTCGAAACGAGCCTCATCACTCGAGCTCCGGGTCTTGGCCAGGGAAGCGGTTCAGTCAGATGGAGAATCTTGACCCACTTCCTGCTGCGTCCCCAAATCGTAACAGTCACGGGCCTAGGCTTTACTCGGGCAGTCCTGAGGACCCAGTGTAGAAAAGAACACAATTGCTCAGAGGTTTGACAGAACACACTGAGGGTGTAAATTCACCTAGG